GTTCTAAATTATTTGACACATAACGTTCCTAATGTGATTTGATTAAAAAAATTATTTGACACTGATACTGATATCAATGTGTATAGGCAATTATTTGAATTCAATATTGCTTTCAGGTTTATTGTCCTACCCTTATTTTCCAAACTAACACTTCTCTTAACAAGTTAGATAGCAATCAAAATATAGAGCATGGAAAAAAATCTCTCAGTCTGTCAAGACAACTCAACTCTCCGAGTTTTTTTGTTTGTTTGTTTTTGTAATAGAAATTATCAGACCAAAGGAAATAAAACAATTTTTTATGTATGTGTGTGTGTACACACACACACACACACACACACACACACACAGATTTTCTTAAAAGAGATTATATCAGATAGCTGTAGGTAAACAACAGGGTATTTCAACTATTCTAAAATATTTATGTACACACAGTAAGATTACAGATAATCTATACTAGGTTATTTCAAAGTGTGTTCACTGGAATGTTCTTGCCCCCAACTCCCATAGAAAATAACACTATGTCAAAAAAATTTGGATAATACTGCATATAATATCCCCCCTCTTAGATATTCACAATGTGTATAATGTATTAAAAGCTTTGAAAATTTATACTATAAATAAGCTCATTAATTATAATATATTGTGTTCAAAATTTGGATAATACTGCATATAATATCCCCCCTCTTAGATATTCACAATGTGTATAATGTATTAAAGGCTTTGAAAATTTATACTATAAATAAGCTCATTAATTATAATATATTGTGTTCAAATTTATTAGACTTGAGAGCCCCTTTTTAACTATGTATTCCCAAAGAATACATCTGGAAAATGCTTATCTGTATACTCTAATACTCATCAGGATTTTATATCCTTAGGAATAAAAGTTCAGGTTATTTTTCACCACTGTTGCTGTGCTATGAAGTAATGGTAATGATCATTTGTATATTGGTCATATATAGTGGATGATCATTTTGTTGCTGTATAAAAAGTCAGTAGGATATATCTGAGATACTATTCAGAAGAATTGAGTATAAATTCCTGAGATCCTTTCTATAATGGAGAATGCCTACAAATTTCCTGCTTATACTTTAGCTGGTCCAACAACAAAATGTTATCTTGAAAATAATTTGCATATTCATTTCCATATAGAACGTGTACAGGTCAAATTTAAAATATATTTCATAATCAATCTAATAAAATGCATAAAACTGTATGTGTGTCCTTCTTTCTATATGAATACAGGAAAATGTGTTTACATAGTTAATAAAAAAAGGACTTTTTTATCTGATCCCAATGAGGATATTAAAAAAAAAACTATTGAAAAACATTTACACAAACAAAAATAAGCCTACAAAAGTTAAACCATGTTGACTACCAATTTTTCAGACTCTAAATTTAAAAATCACTATTTCAAGAAAACGTTTTAATATAAAATGGAGTGTAAGTAATATAGCTTACTGGTTGGTAAGTAAAACTACTTTATTATAATACTGCTAGTAGAATAAAATCGACACACACCATTTGTACATGCAGGGGAAATACAACTTTAATGTAAATAGATGGTTTTCAGCACATTCCTTTACTAGAATGTGGTCACCTGCCACAAAGAACACAAGCTCATGCACAAGATCAAGACGTTACATACAGCTGAGATCACAACGGCATGCATATAACAACAGCGTGCCAATAATCGTACCACAAAGTGTGCAGATGTTCTCCCCCACCCCATGAGCCACTGCCAGCAGTTGCTGTGAAGTTTGGTTACCCATATCCGTGACATGAACGGTGTCCTTTGGAGAATCTTGTTCCCTGTGGCTGTAAGTATTCTTATTTTTATAATATTTTAATGATGATTGCCATCAAAATGTTACGTACAAAACTAGAAATTATGGAAAAGTAGACTTTTTACAATACTGAGCAATTAAATACATCTTATCTCAGGTACTTGCAACAAACACCACTTACATTTAAACATATCATCAAAACTAATTTACTGCTCCAAGTTAAATGAACCCAAAATAATATGTCTGATGACAGTGCTCCAGTAAGTGGGGGGAAAAATCAATCTCCAAAAAGTACTCCCTGATTTCTAGCACTCAAAAAAATTGGCAAGAGTCATTCTAATGATCTGGCTAAAATATGACTCATACAGATAAGCTGTATGTAAGAACGTCTATTAGGACAACTCTTTCACTTACATAATTTCAATTTTGAAGACTTAACTTGGTAAACAATTAACCAAATTAACATGAATTATTTATATTAGTCGATGAAAGTATAGAGTCATTAAAATACTTCCTCTCATTTCTCTGCACCTATTATGTGTATTTCAATGTCCTTTTTTGCCAATATATGCATATATAGATCCTAAGTATCCTGATAAAGATAGAATTCTATTTTGCTACTAGGTAACACTTGCTAAATTACTGATGTTCATAAAGCATAGAATCAGAATTCTGGAACCACGAGTCACTTTGAGTGGTTCAGTTCTATGCCTCTTGGCAGTATTATATGGCCCTTTCAAAACGATAAATTCAGTACTTCTGGAATGCTCCAGGGTATCTTTAAATCAGGCCAGGGAGTAAAAAAAAAAAAAAAAAAGAAAATACAGCCAACTCTCAATAACAATGGAAGGTAGGATGGAGAAGTAAAATCTGAAGATCTAAAAACCTTATTTTAATTAATAACCTCAATCCCCTGTCTTAGCAAACATTTGACTTAAAAAATTTTTAAATTTTTGTCAGATTAAAAAAGTACTTGAATTTTACCTCTTTTCTCTGCCCCCTCTCCAAATACTATAGAGGAGGTACTAACGAGAATTGTATAGTCTGATATATGTAGCTGCAAAGATGGAAACATATTTTTACATCTAGCTTTTCCAGTTGAGATATTTAGAACCATCCATATCATATTCCAGGTATATGAGGGCCTATATATATTTTCATCTTTGCATAAAAGGATGATGTTATGATTTTTTTAAAAAGTGGTTATTCCTATAGCAAGGAATGACTACTTACCATAATCAATATCAGCAGTTACATCCAATTCTTCTGATTTTGTAATAATCTACAACTTAGTACTTACCAAGTTACATTTTCCTTAGAATGTAACATTTGCAAGTGATTCGAAGATGATAGTTTTACTCAACATCAGAATAATTTATGATGGAAGCCAATGCCTTGATAAGTTGGGCACAATAAGACTAAGGCTTACAACAGCTGTCTCTCCTAATTCTTAAGTATGTAGAGTTAAACACTGGACTATTCTGCCTCAGTCCTTCTCTAAGCAATCATCATTCAATTGCCTCATTAGACTGATGCAAAATACGTATCTTATAAAGTTCATGATATGAACTGCTTTAATTAGCAACAAGTAATGTCTAATTCTAATAAAGAATTAAGAATAATGAAATATCTGAAAACATGCCATTCTTTAAATACATTAAGTACAGCAGAATCTCTCATACAAAGCAGGCATGCCATAGTGCAAGATCAAAAAGGTGACATACTCATGTTGCTATATGTTTACAAAGAAGACAACTGGGATTTGACCAAAACCAAAGTTAAACCCAGTATATTTTAGATAAAAGGCATCAGAAAAAATGTGCAATAAAGGGACAAGTAACAGAAGTTAAATTTATGATAGTTTATTATTTATTTGCCTTTCTAAAGAATGATCATTAGATTCTAAAAAGCAATACTATATCGGTTTCAAATACATAATTAGAACTTCTTATAAACTCTACTTTCATTAAGAAGATCAGTTTTCTATTCATTGAAAGTAAAATCTCTTTAAATAGTGGTGAAAAGAAAAGAAAACAAATGCCTGAATTAAATATCTGAATTTAAATATCACATTATACTAGGCTCTATAATATTTAGACATCATTATATTTGTGGGGACAAGACTTGAAGGATAAGAAGTGTGTGTATCAGTAAACCTTCACAATGTCATTTTATTTTATTTTTTATTCAGGTATAAGAAAAATTTAATAAACAAATCATATATAATTAAGTAAAAATCAATTTATTTTAAGATATGTCATTGGTATTACTATGTGCACACTTAAAAAATCAGTATTCCTGTTTAAAATTCAAATACTTTACATGGGAGAAACATTTCCCTAATTATAACTAAAGATAATTGTGGAAAATATTTGGCAGTGTGATTTAAACAGTAAATACCTCTCTATGACAATTTTAAAAAGTTGGCCTTTGAAAATTAAGTAAATTAAAATAATTCTGGTTAAATTTTTCCATAGAAAATAACACACCCAAAAATAGTAGTTCTGAGTATTGTATAATTTCCACTTAGATTTCTAAGACTAAGTCTAGCAAATATCTAAGCATTTCTGAAAATCTGAACTTTTCCAGGATATATTAAAATGTGAATAGAAAAAAATCAGTAAAACAATTGTCTTAACACTTTTTTCATTCTTACATATTATACAAAATCTTGCATATTAATAGAAAATTATTCAGTTTTATAACAGAATCTACAGGTAGTCCTATGTTTAACATGGAACCATGTTGTTAAAAGTATTTAAAGACAACATTTTGATATGTCAGAAACTAGAATGATGTCCTCTGTGGTTATTGCTGATAAAAGTTACTACTAAATAAAAACAATAAACAGGAAAAAATGCTGCATATACAATTTGATAAACACACTGTGCTCTCATTATCAAAATTCTGGGCTCTCCTAACTTACAATATTCTAATATCTCAATCAGGTCCATAGAGGACTGTGTATATAGCAAGGGTGCTGCCATACAAAAGTGAACAGGTAGAAATATTAGAGTATGACATGGTAAGGTAAAAAAAAAAAATGACTATGTCATACAGCAATTACTTAAAATACTGGGCTTCTTCTCAGTGACTGAATAGGCCAGGCTATTCAATCACTTGTTATTTGCTCTGCAAGTTTATTGTACTGGAAAGCTGCAGAAAGATGGCAATAAAGTTCACTGGATACAAATATTCAAATTCTTCACTTACCTCATCTGGGTTGGCATTAAAGGTGAGGCTGCCTTCATCCAGCTGCATATACAATTTTCTAAAAGAAAATCCTAAAGGTGGGTTCTTATTGTATATGGAACAGTGACCCCAAGTGGATTTGCACAACCTGTAAGAGAAAATGAGACAAGAAAATATTACTCTTAATTTCCTAAGTTAAACATGCATACACATAATGAAATAGTAACATGAAATGATATAAAATTGGATTTTATAGCCCCCAAATTTAAAATTTTTAAGTTTGTACTTGTTTTTTATTTACTAGAATATGACAGATGCCTTAAATTT